TGTGGAACTGGGAATTGTGCACCTGGGTGGCCTCCTGGGGACAGTGGGTGACACTGGGGGTGGCACCGGGGCGTCCCTCCTGCTGGGGTTCCTGAGATCGGGAAGGAGTTTTGGGAGTGGCACAAAAGGTTGGGAATGGCTGGGGGGGGTTTTACGGGAGCATCCCAGTGTGGAACTGGGAATTGTGCCCCTGGGTGGCCTCGTGGGGACAGCAGGTGACACTGGGGGTGGCACCGGGGCGTCCCCCCTGCCCGGGTTCCTGGGATTGGGGGGGGGGATTTTGGGAATGGCACAAAAGGTTGGGAATGGCTGGGGGGGTTTTATGGGAGCATTCCCAGTGTGGAACTGGGAATTGTGCACCTGGGTGTCCTTTTGGGGACAGCAGGAACCCTGCTGGGGTTCCTGGGATCGGGGGGGAGTTTTGGGAATGGCACAAAAGGTTGGGAGGGGTTTTTGGGAGCCAATTCCAGAGCATCCCAGTGCTCCCAGTTTGGAACTGGGACTGGGCACTGGGGTGGCCCTGGGGGAGGGCTGGGGGGTGCTCCGGGGCTGGGTGGGATTTTGGGAATTCTGGATCCGTGGAATTCCCAGGTGTGACCCCAGACTGGCCCCTGGGGTTTGGGGGGGCTCAGGGTTTTCCATATTTTGGGAATAATGGGAATAATGGGAATGGGGAGAGTGGGAATAATGGGAATAATGGGAATGGGAATAATGGGAGTGGGAGTGTGGAGAGGGGATGGAATGAGGGGAGAAGGGCTGGAAGGGGGGAATGGGAAGGGAGCAGGAACTGGGATGAGAGGGAGTGGGATAACTGGGATAAAAGTGGGAAAGGCAAGGGGAGAGGGGATGGGAAAAAGGGGGAGAAGAAATGGAAAAAGGGGGAGAGGGAATGGGAAAAAGGGGGAGAGGAAATGCGAAAAAGGGGGAGAGGAAATGGGAAAAAGGGGGAGAAGAAATGGGAAAAAGGGGGAGAGGGGAAGTGGGAAAAAGGGGGAGAGGAAATGGGAAAGGAGAAAGGGGAAAGGGAAGGGGGAGAAGGGATGGGGAAGGGGAGAGGAAATGGAAAAAAGGGGGAGAGGGGATGGGAAAAAGGGGGAGAGGGGAAGTGGGAAAAAGGGGGAGAAGAAATGGAAAAAGGGGGAGAGGGGAAGTGGGAAAAAGGGGGAGAAGAAATGGGAAAAGGGGGAGAGGAAATGGGAAAAAGGGGAAGAGGGGAAGTGGGAAAAAGGGGGAGAAGAAATGGAAAAAGGGGGAGAGGGGAAGTGGGAAAAAGGGGGAGAAGAAATGGGAAAAGGGGGAGAGGAAATGGGAAAAAGGGGAAGAGGGGAAGTGGGAAAAAGGGGGAGAAGAAATGGAAAAAGGGGGAGAGGGGAAGTGGGAAAAAGGGGGAGAAGAAATGGGAAAAGGGGGAGAGGAAATGGGAAAAAGGGGAAGAGGGGAAGTGGGAAAAAGGGGGAGAAGAAATGGAAAAAGGGGGAGAGGGGAAGTGGGAAAAAGGGGGAGAAGAAATGGGAAAAGGGGGAGAGGAAATGGGAAAAGCTGGGGGGGGTTTTACGGGAGCATCCCAGTGTGGAACTGGGAATTGTGCCCCTGGGTGGCCTCGTGGGGACAGCAGGTGACACTGGGGGTGGCACCGGGGCGTCCCCCCTGCCCGGGTTCCTGGGATTGGGGGGGGGGATTTTGGGAATGGCACAAAAGGTTGGGAATGGCTGGGGGGGTTTTATGGGAGCATTCCCAGTGTGGAACTGGGAATTGTGCACCTGGGTGTCCTTTTGGGGACAGCAGGAACCCTGCTGGGGTTCCTGGGATCGGGGAGGAATTTTGGGAATGGCACAAAAGGTTGGGAGGGGTTTTTGGGAGCCAATTCCAGAGCATCCCAGTGCTCCCAGTTTGGAACTGGGACTGGGCACTGGGGTGGCCCTGGGGGAGGGCTGGGGGGTGCTCCGGGGCTGGGTGGGATTTTGGGAATTCTGGATCCGTGGAATTCCCAGGTGTGACCCCAGACTGGCCCCTGGGGTTTGGGGGGGCTCAGGGTTTTCCATATTTTGGGAATAATGGGAATAATGGGAATGGGGAGAGTGGGAATAATGGGAATAATGGGAATAATGGGAATGGGAATAATGGGAGTGGGAGTGTGGAGAGGGGATGGAATGAGGGGAGAAGGGCTGGAAGGGGGGAATGGGAAGGGAGCAGGAACTGGGATGAGAGGGAGTGGGATAACTGGGATAAAAGTGGGAAAGGCAAGGGGAGAGGGGATGGGAAAAAGGGGGAGAAGAAATGGAAAAAGGGGGAGAGGAAATGGGAAAAAGGGGGAGAGGAAATGGGAAAAAGGGGGAGAAGAAATGGAAAAAGGGGGAGAGGGTATGGGAAAAAGGGGGAGAAGAAATGGAAAAAGGGGGAGAGGGGAAGTGGGAAAAAGGGGGGGAAGAAATGGGAAAAGGGGGAGAGGAAATGGGAAAAAGGGGGAGAAGAAATGGGAAAAAGGGGGAGAGGGGAGGTGGGAAAAAGGGGGAGAGGAAATGGGAAAGGAGAAAGGGGACAGGGAAGGGGGAGAAAGGATGGGGATGGGGAAAAGAAATGGAAAAAAGGGGGAGAGGGGATGGGAAAAAGGGGGAGAGGAAATGGGAAAGGAGAAAGGGGAAAGGGAAGGGGGAGAAGGGATGGGGAAGGGGAGAGGAAATGGAAAAAAGGGGGAGAGGGGATGGGAAAAAGGGGGAGAGGGGAAGTGGGAAAAAGGGGGAGAAGAAATGGAAAAAGGGGGAGAGGGGAAGGGAAAAAGGGGGAGAGGAAATGCGAAAAAGGGGGAGAGGAAATGGGAAAAAGGGGGAGAAGAAATGGGAAAAAGGGGGAGAGGGGAAGTGGGAAAAAGGGGGAGAGGAAATGGGAAAGGGGGAGGGG